CGAATAACGCATGCCGTATTCTGATCTGGCTACTGGGTTGGTTTAGCGTATCTATCACGCGGCTTGTTTGGGGGAGGGGGCATGTGGGAATACAGAACTACAAACATGGGAGTCTATGAGGGTTGGCTGATTGAATAGCTGGTACTGTATTGCTACCGACCGCGGTTCAATTGCAAGCCCACCAATAAGTGAGAGGATCTGTATCTGCATCATGTGCTTTCAACTACTTTAAAAAAGGTCAATCCATCATGTTTGACTAGTTAACACGCATTTTTCCCCCTCAGAGACCGCCAGTCTTCCCGCGTATATTAGCCCTGAAAGGACGGGATTTCAGCCTTGGGTAAATGTGAATCCCATTTGCTGTAATCTTGTATTAGCATAACAAGTGTTCTATTGCATGGTTCGAAACTGCGTAGAAACACGAAGCCCAAACCCATGAGTTATCGATAATGGCGAATATTAAGCCCTGCAACGACACCGAACGCGTTTCACAGTCTCTCTTAAACATTGCCAACTGTTATTGTCCCGGTACCAGTAAAAAAGACGCAAACAGTTAGCGGGAATGAAAGTAAGCGCTTTGTCAAATATAGGCAACAGAGTACTGACAATGAAAAGGGAGACCAAAATGACAATTTCGGGCTTATTAGCTATCATCAGCCAGTCATGTTCAGTCTCAAGTGTGAACCGCCTGGGATTCGAACCCGGGATCTTTGATCATTGAGTCAAACGCTCTACTCATGAGCCAGGGTCTCTTTGTTCTGCCGCTTTTTATCGGGAATATTAATTATGACCCAGTAGCCTTTATCGACGTGTGTTGCTAGTCACTATGCGACTGCCTGCATTGGCTCTGATTGAGCCCGAAGACACAAGTGGTGTAGTATATCCCGTTACTCGATCGATCCGCGCCACTTCATTCTACTTTGCCAAATATTCGGAGTTTTTAAGATGGCGGAATTGTCGAGGGTCCTATCAACAAGTCTTCGACTTTAGTTTTCTCCTCTGTGCTCCGGATAAATTAACTCGACAAGGCGTGCCTCCCCGACCCAATGGCAACCCGTTGACTCAGCGATCAACGGTATGAAGATTGAATAAGGCGAAGATCACGAGTTAAGCAGAATTTAATGACGTCATGAAATTTCGTGACCTCTCAATCAGCTGCAAACGGTCGTTGCCTATTAATAAGAGAATTAATTGTCCAATTAAGTGTCAGTCTCGAAGGTTGAAACATGATAGGTGAAAGCAGTAGAAACGATAGATGTGGGCGCATGGTGAGGGGTAGAGGAGGGGCAGAGGTAATTATCACAGCATGGCAGTTCATGAAAGCCTGCAGGACGTGGTTAAAAAAAAAAAGGGGGGGGTTGGGGC